TGAGAAGTTATTTGTTAAACAAAATGAACAAACAAACAAGAAAACCTCACAACAGTTGGATATTGTATCAGCTAAACAAGCCAAAAAGAACAACTATGGATCCTTGTCTATCTTCACTGTGTGGGCATACAGTGTATCACTGCTCGGCAAGACTGCTGAGGCACTGAGACAGCAGCGGCATGAGCTCACAGAGGCAGACAGAGTAACCTAATCCCTGTGACAGCCTGCTAAAATCACAGGGCTCTGCTGCCTTCTGGAATGTGCTCTTTCTGCTAGCTGCTCACTCAGCCCCTCTGGCACTGCTACACTTCCTCCTTCCACCAAAATGTGCATTTTAGATACAGGGAAGGTCTGATTCACAAACTGACAGCACAGGATGGCGATGGGCCGATTAAGACATGTTTGCGCTTCTCTTCACACTGAACCACAGCAGCTGAAATCCCATGAGACTGAAGCTCATCCCAGATGTCCCAGTTTCTCTCTAAACAAAACAGAAGCACAGCAGCAAAGGGTCATGGGAGACTTGGCAGGCCAGCTGTGAGACAGGAAGTGTGGACACAAGGGTGACCGGATGATGGGAAAGTGATGCAAGCTGACAGAGAGCAGGCTTGACCCTCTTCGAGTTTAGATGAGTTCAGATAACTTATCTTTGCACTGATGCTTGTAATGTACCTTGTTAAAGAGATCAAAGATGAACTGCTGGACTACTTTAAACTTTAGCACCAAGACAGATCACATGATTTCCCACTTTAGAAAACTGTATTGTTCCAGCATCACATTAAAATTGAATTAGGGGGCCTCTAGTGTTTTGGGTTAAGCATATAGGCTAAGCTACATTCATGACTGTGTGAAAGCAGTTGGTTATCCACCCCTCGGGATCACCCTCAGCAGTTGGGAATGGCCTAAAATAGACCGTGGCTCATGTCCTTTGAGAACTGTCAGAGATTTACTCTCATAGCAACAACCAACAGCAAAAGTTTCAAGCTTTCTTTTAGACTAACTTCACATCAAAAGCCCCACTCTACACTCTAAACAAATATGTGAAAGGCCCACATAAACGCCACTGTTTGAAATATGTTGCTTAGCAATTTAGCCTGAAAATCCCATGCAAAAAAAAAAAAAAAGGAGTAGTGCCATTTTCATAAAAGGCAGTATTTATGTCATTTTGGCAAACTTAATGTCTCAAACACCACAATAAAGAAATTAAATCATAGCCCATGACATTTTCAAATCTATAGCAGACAAACAAACAAACATATTGTCATATAGGCATCCATCCATATTAGAGGATATCCATTGTTGTGTCTGAGAAGAGTATCTGTTCATAAAATTCAAATTAACAAACATTACTCTAAAAATGTTTTCACTTCCTTATTTCACTTCACAGTTTATTATTACAACTGCATATTCACCCTCAGTCTGGTTGTGAACTGTCTAGCCCACAGAAAGACGGTACTGGTGAAGTGACTCCTTTTCTGTGGCTGGAAGAGGGGGACGAGATGTTAAACAGAATGCCAATGTCTAAGCTGCACAGAGATTCACCTGTAATAAAGTCAGTTTTGATTGCTGAATTTTGATTTTTCACAAAGTCTAAATCACTGCCCCAGAAGAGAGCAATCTACCAAGCATTGCTTCAGAGGCTCACACTAACGTTGCTCAAATGAAAAGAGAAGACAAGAAATGTGAAACCAAGACGGTTTTCATGGGTCCTTACAAGTAGGCGTTTGCTAATAAAGAAAAAAAATGCTGAAACCGAGATTGTCAAAATGAAATAAGTTGATCTGTATCAGCCCTGAAAACCTGATCAAAGCTTCCTTATCAGAAATCACAGCAAGTTACATAACCAAAGAGTTTATAGAAAGCCTATGATGTTGCAAAAAAAGGCAAAACATAGAAAAATTGTTACTGTAAAGCCACTTGCAAGACTCCACACAAGTCATGCTTTATCTAATTATAATTAATTATTTGTAGTGAATGCACACTCTGCAGCTGGCAGCACGAGGTGATTCACCAGAAGCATGCTTTTATTCCATCCGTAAGCAGATATCTGTCAGAGCTTAATACCTCTGTGGAAGAAAGGATCCATTTCCTTAGACTCAACCTAATTTAGCAGCCTACACCTCTTCATGTACACCCTGAAATTGGCAGCTCTTGTTCTAGCTGGCCTACCCACCAGGTAAAATGATGGCCACATCCAAGAAATCTTGGGTTTAAAACAACAGTGCAACACACTTTCAGATTACCTCACAGATTCTGAGAGCTCCAGGGGATTTCCCAATGACTAATCTAAGTTTACAAAGCAGAAGGAACTCCAACACACAGCAGTGCAGTTTAATAAAGCTGCTCTTGGTTTGGTTTTGTGTACTGTCATGGTTCCTAAACCTGCTAAGAGTCAGTATGAACAAAATCTAAATATGGGGAAGTACTGCCATGAAGCAGAAGACCTTGTTATTGTTTCAGTAAAAACCACAGATTATTTGTAAACTGGACAGTAGTAGATATAAAATAGATACAGGCTTCATTTCAACTCTTCCTACATCCTCAAAAATGCCATCACAATAGAACAAGCTACTTGTGCCAGATGTTTGAGAAGAACACAAGTTGGAAAAATCGAAAATCTAGGATCTGCAAAAATTCCCATCCTTACATTCTCTGATAGGAGAGAGGGGGGAAAGAACATTTTCCACAGAAACGCTCATCTCTATACTCCCCAAATCAGTCAACCTACACACATTTCAGTTCATTTTATTTCTTTAGGGTATTATCTGAGAGTAAAATCAATGTTCTCATGCATTTTTAATGAAAGCTGGAGATTGTTTGGCAACTTTTCCATACCCAGGGAAATGGTGTGAAACAGCACTTGTTATATATGTTGCTAACTAGGGCTGCTACAAACGATTATTTTGACAGTCGACTAGTCACCGATTATTTCTGCGATTAGTTGACTAATCAGATCATGGACGTAAAACGTACAGCTTATTGCACCAGCATGCATCTGCTCTTATATAAGTATCATTAGCTTACAGCTTGAAGTGTTTAAGGTATGCGCTAACTAAAAATAAAGACAAGATGATAGTTTATTAAATTTTAATGACATCTGCAGATTGTTTCGGTGGAGTTTAATAAACTCAGCCGTCTGCTCCTTGCTATCTAAAATATAACAGGACACCGGAGTATACTCTCGAGCATCTCACACTTCTGATAATCAGCTGTCTGCTTGACGTTTATTCAGCTGTGTAAAAACTATAACTTTTTTTCTCAGCCAAACCGATTTACTCAGGAACAAATAAAATACTTAAAAAAAAAAGCCAAACAATAACATTTTTAAGTTATCTAAGTGACTTATATTAAATGTTTGAAAACGATTTGCCGGGAGTCCGGTGTTCTCACAGACTCGAGTGAGCCTTGAACCCCGGCTAGCTATCGAGCTAGTGGGTAACAGATGTCTCCGAAAACGTCGGAGCGCTTTTGAAAATATGTGGTGTCCTGATAAACTGAGCAGATATTTGAGGTTTACACAGCTACATTCTCGCTTGAAAATATGTTAAACGTTTATTTTGTGACCCAGAAAGAATAATAAGAGTAATATTAAAACTAACTAGCTGCCGCCATTGTTGACAAATGCGCTGGGCCGCGCTATGAATTCTGGGACACAGCTTCTTCTTCTTCGGGATTTAACGGCAGCTGGCACCCTTGTACATGCAGTGCTGCCATCTTCGGTTTCAGTCCGTTATTACACTCTTAAACCCTACTACTTATTCCTGCGTCTTTTGGGATCTTACAAAGCTTCAAACGACGTGTTGACTATTAAATTAGTCGTCGACGATTTTAATAGTCGACTAATCGTGGCAGCCCTATTGCTAACCCCTTCAAAAGATCCAGCACATTCATTTCAGAGGCAACAACAGATTTTTATAGGGATGGTCAGCTTTTTTTCTACACACAAAAACTAAAGAAATCAAAATAATCTGATTAAGATGCTTAAGTCTGCAGCAAAGCCAATATCTCAGCAGTTGCTTGAAGGTCAGTTTCAAGGCGATCAGAAACACGATAAGAAAAACAAACTGATTCTCAAATGACTGATGAGATTTCTAGGTTGCCGGACTGTTTAATTATTTCATTCTTGCTGTTTGATTTCCCGTGTGATTGCATTCAAGATCTAGCTTGCTTTAATTCAAATATTTTCCATGTTGTCGTTACGGCCAAGAGCGCTATGCCATAAAATTGAACTTTGCTCCTAGGTTTGGGTGTTATAAAATAGTCACAGGAAAGTTTCCATCTAATCACTGATCTCTATTTGCTACCAGTGGACCACAGACAACACTGAGAGGTGAGATTATAGATCCAAAAATCTGGTACACAAGAGGTTTTAATTAGAACACTCTCATATACTGGAGCTATATGAAGGTCTAACTGTTTTGGGTTTTTTTTTTTGCATAACATGTTCATAAAGAACATGACAAGTAAAACGGGTGGTGTGGAAGCCACCCATGAACCATCATTTTCTTGCTCCTACTGAAAGTACTGTAGCAGACTGAGTCTGTGGGCAGGACTTACTATTGGTTTAACAAATTCACAGAAATGACCAAAGCTTGTGCCTAAAAAGCCTGCTTTCATCATTAAAGACACGCACAGTTCTTCCATTATGACAGTATTGCTTTTTTTGTAATTCAGTGCTACACAACTGCTGTCACAACAATGACAGTCGTAGTTGCACGAGTACGCACATCCTCATTATCACTTTGCCAAACCCACTGAAAGAAAACCCTGAACCATAATGGACTAAGAGAAGAAACACTGAAACTGCACACTTCTCCTACTCGACACGAGGAAGTCAAATCACTTCAAAAGAAAACAAAAAGATGGCAAATACAGCCGGGACAGTACACTTTTACAAAAGTTGGAAAACTTAGTCCAAACAAGAAACAATAACTGTGCACTTCCTTACAACTTTGCTTTAGTTGTTAAGCTGAAATTTATCTTTTTCTCCCCTTTTTTTGGGTTTCAGTGTTTTGCTCATTAGTCGCCTTTTTGCCCTTTGCCAGGGCACAGAAAGCAGGAGCTGTTGCTCCGTCATATTCTGTCACAGTTAATGTATACAGAGAACGTCTGTTATTTACTCTTCAAACATCTACATGCATGAGCAGTCGGGCACAAAAAAAGAAAAAAAATGAAAGAGGAAATGGAAGAGAATGTATGCAATAACAGAGATTAAGGCGATAACATGCAAAGAGACAATTGCGGAAAAAAGAAAAAAAAAATCCCCATTTCTCAACTTCATAAAAAGTCCAAAAAAAAAAAAAGAAAGAAAGAAAGAAAGGTGACTTTATGAACTAGCTTCTGAGCCCTGACGAGGGAAATTTTAGCCATCGTTTTGACTAGCGAGAAAAGCGAAGTTGGTATTTTACCCTGGGCTGCGAGGACAGATTTGGCTGCTGGAAGCCACTGGTAGCCAGACACTCGGAAAAGAGGAAAGGGCACAGCCAAACAAAAAAAGGATAACGCCTTCATACGCATACGATTATTCTGTCATAAAATCCAAACAAGAGCACCATTATACTGTGGGATGTATGACTATTACAGGAGTACACAAGGAGTATATCAGAGTGAAGGAACAGTCCTCACTTCTGCACAGAAGCTCATGACATGGCAGCTGACAGGTGCAATTTTTTAAAAATAGGTTGCCTAATTGCAGTTTCCATGCATACATTTGATTTTCAAATGTAAGCCTTCGAGTACGAAATGCTGATAAGAATGGCATCACCATTTCCTCCTGCAAGCTGTGGATACCCTCTCGGTGACTCCAACTGAGAAGAGAGCAACAGCAGAGCAAATGCCTCTCTCTTCTTCCTCCTCCTCCTCTCACCGCCTTGAAAACTAACTTGTGACAATAATTACAGAGTAATTCTTAACCAGTCGCTAGTATTTGGTTGCAGAGATGTGCAGGCTACTCGCATAAATCGCTCTGATATAATTAATTAATTATAGAAGGCCACACAAACAAAAGCCGCAAGGGCTCGCCAGGAGTTATACAGACGAACTGCCCCATTGTGCTTCTAAGAATGACATTTAGTCTGGCTTGGGTTGTGTAAGGTAGAAACAATGTTACGAGATAAACTAAGTGTGCAATTACCCAAAATCTTGCCCAAAACAAGATCTAAGTGATCCAACTAGGAATATGTAGGCTCAAATGCATTTTGCAGGTAGTATACAGGTAGGTATTTATCCACAAATTGAGTTTAGATTAAAAAAAACAATTTAACAAACAAAAAAAAAAAATTCATTGTTGTATGTTCTCTAAGGTGAAGATTTTTCCTGCATTTGAAATCTCTGGGACAGAATGTCTTTAGGTTGAGCACTACTGGTCCAAATAAACAGATACCAAGCCAACTGGGTATCACTGGGTGAAGATAGAGGTGATGGACAAGCTATGACTAATTATGGCTACTTGAAGCAAACCCCAATACCAGTGATGCACATCGTGACCACGACCAAGCGAGTTCAACTCAGTACGCAATTAAAAAACGTAATCCTGAGATATAATAAGAAAAAAAATAAAGCTGCATTTAAGTATAAACTGTAAATTGGATCAAACGGTTTAACATCACTGTGGCTTCATTTAATTGTCAGTCTTACAAATAGAAGTGTTTACGTGGTGCCCGCTTGAACGAAAAGAAGAATAAAGATGATAAAGATATGTAGCAGTTTTGGTGGAGTTTTTACCTTATAACCTGAGCTTGACAGCGTGTCACGCTAAAACGGCTAACATTAACCTGGCTAAGAAAATTTCCCCCATATGCTTTTAGTGATTACAGCCAGACTAACCGTCTGCCAGCTGGATAACAGTATGCTGGCCATGCTGGCATGGACACTAGGTGTTTTTCTCTCTCTCTCTCCTTTTCTTTTTCAGTCTAGGTTAACGTTTAGCTGTTAGCTTGCGTGAGCTTTAACGCTGGAGAACCGTTAGTGCTGCAGTCTGTATCACAGAGCTTCACCATCAGCGGCAGCTCAGATTCATACCCTGCTCTAGTCATACCAGGTCTTACCTGATTCCTGACGGCCACCTCTTCTTATGTCCTTTTGGAAATATGTTAAAGGGTTACACACAGCAGCCGAAGATGCACAGAAGCGGCATCCAGAATCCTAGCTAAGCAGCCAGGTTTTTTTTTTCTTTTTTCCCCACTCCAAGACGCTAGCCTAGCTGACGAGACGCCGTGCCCCGTTGGAATAGCATTTCTGCATCAATGCATGTCATCGCTCAGCAGCATGGCTAAGCTAACTAGCAGCTACACAAGCAGTTCAGACGCTCTCTGGGTCCCGCCTGCTGCCACACGATTGGCTGAGAGAGAATCAGGAGTTTGTGATTGGACAAAGACACTGTCCGTTAATCCCACTGCAGCTGCTGGTGCTTTGCTTTCCCCTAACCATTCGTCATGTTTTCGTCTCTGTGAGGGTAAAGAATCGATCGAATCGCTACCATTGATAGACGTGTGTATGAAAAGAGAGATGAAAGTGAGTCTGGTTATTGCATCACGTACTGTTTATGTTTTGGTATCTAAAAGAAAGATACGTAGTGAGTGGGACTTTAGCACAAGACCCAAACTATAATTTAGGCTAGTAAGAAATTGATGTTCTGTACTATACTTGCTAAAATAAAATACATAAAAAGTGCAAGCTTGCCCTTCAGCAAGCATTGCGTTAAATGCTGCCTACGTGTTTTTAGTATATGACAACTGCAGTTTTCTCAGCATTAATAAGCATTTCAAAGAAGTGCCCAGTCATCAGCAACCGTGCGATACACAAAACGAATCTACATAAAATAACTCGTCATCCAATCCCATTCGGGCTCCACATGTGAAATGATGATACATCTATTAAACGTGTCTGTGGTGAAGATACTTGCAGAGTAATTTGGAAGGCTGTGCAACTCGCTGCAGGATGCAATCTGTTTCCTGCTCAAACAGATGGGCCTGCCCTACATGTATTCTGTGATCTGCACCCAAAACTAGACTATAATACTGCATGTATAGTGGATTATAAACTCCATCTAATACTTCTATTCACTTTTTAATATAAATTGGACTGTTTAAAATAAAATATGGCATGGTGGAATGTGTTTTGAGTCACTTTCTTATTAGCTTGAGAAAGATTTTGTCCACATTTTCTCTGCAAATGGATCTAGCTTGTTGTTTTAGTCATTTTGTATTATTCAATAGTAGTAGACTGTCACTTACACAGGCGGATTTGATTTACTGCTTATATTGTTGCTGTAATAAGGGTATATTAGTGGTCCCATGACATTTATTACCTATTTGTGTGCAAATAAGGTTATTATTCAATAGATTGTCATCAGCTGTGCACAGTCTCAGATCAATTTGCTCCATCAATATGCTTCCATTTTTACTGCATACACAAAACATTGCTTCCTGGCTTTCTGAAGTAAAATAATTTCCTAGCTCTAGCAGTCTAAATGAAGTGGATCCTGAATGCCACCTGCTGGGCTATCAGTGAATCATGCGTTTGTGTCAGCTGTGAGCAAGCATCATCCCCTCTTTTCATCCACTCTGCATCCTCATTTTGTTCTTATTTCATTCCATTGCTTTTGCTTTGCCTTGGGGAAACGTAGAGCTCAAGTGGGCTTGGTTTTTCTCAACAGAGAAAAGGAGACGTCACTGGTGAGACACTGAATCACCCACTACAGAAAAAGCAAATGGTCTCACGCTGTCAAAAGGCAACTCTAATTCAATACAGTGCACCTGCCTCTGGGCATTAGTTTGATATGCATCTGACAGTAAACAGAAGCAGAATCCAGGGTTATAATCGCCAGTGTTAAATATCAACTAGGCGACGGGGCCAGAGCATACGTGATAGGGAGCAGCAACAACAAAACTACAGTTTGTGCACAAAATATAAGGAATTATAGACAAGACCTTTTATTTTTCAAAGTCACATTTGGCCTCCAGTAAATTTGGAGTCTGTTTGTGGTGTTCAATTTAGATTTAATAAGAACAATCTCACATAATGCTACAGCCTGCAGCCTATCACATAAAGGACATTATATTCTACTTTGTAGCTTCGCTGGCTCATCTGTAATTGTTTCTTTGAAGAAATTATACTGTCTTGGAAAGCAACAGCTTAGGAGCCACACAAATAAATACCAGTTGTTTTTTTGTTTTTGTTTTGTTTTTTATAAAAGGTTGGGCTGTTTTTAAAGTTCTTATTTTATTCCTTTTATGTAGCGTGACCCATCTCTGGGCTGACATTTACAGAGATATATCTTTGCTGATTTTACATTGACATTCACAAGACCAGATCCCACGTGGCCAATTTGATTTCAAATCTTGGAGCGTGGTAAAGCACACAAACCAAACAGATCATTTTCATGCCCAACATTTTGGCCAGTCACACAACTGATTAGACATTAAAGCAATACTACTGGGGCAAAGTCGTCACCATGTTATATCTGCCTTTTTTTATTATTATTTCCCACACAAATATTAAGACACCATTTTTTTTATTAGTTACACAACTGGCACTCATTTGACAACACAACAATACAAAATCATCAGATGACGACCCAGACATTCTTTGAATTGTACAACCAAGCAACATTGTAAACAATTAGACTGACATCTAAATTCATTTGATGGGTGAGTCCAGGATCTCTTGGTAATCCTGCCGAATGGCTCTGCTCACCCTGTACAGCTTGACTCCAGTCAGAGTAAACACACTAATCATGATGACTAGGCCCCCGATGACGTCATAGACAGAGGGGATCATCCTCAGAACGATGAGCTGGAGAAACATGGCAACCACAATCTCCAGGTGCTGCACGGTGCTCACTAAGGCTGGATGAAACTTATTTAGAGCATAGTAGACTCCGAGAAATGCCACAGTGGAGCAGATACAAATCCCAATTAAATAGCCCCAGGTCTCCGCATCCAGAGGAATGATGGGCTCCTGCATGATAAACATGGTGGAGGCGCCCCAAACTGTGCCCGTCCAGCCGAAGGTAAAGAGTGCGGTCCACATGCTGACCCGCTCCTTAATGGCCCTGTAGACGATCATGGAGAGGGCAGCAGTCATGCCGGCCATCACTGTCATTGTGTAGCCAAAGGCCTCCTTCCAAAACCCCAGCCTGGACTTCTCCTCATCTGCTACATTTGGCACCATAACCAGGCACAAGCCAAACACACTTCCTACCACTGTGACTACATCAGTATAGCCCAGCCTCTCATCCAGCAGCAGGAAGGCTAGAACTGCACTGAAGACTGTGGTGGAGGCACGCCACATGATAGTGCCATTGCTAGGTGGTACTATGGCAAAGGATGTGTAAGCGCAGGTGATTGAGATTACGTTGCAGACACCGTAAAAGAAGAGACGCAGTCGATAGCCCTTGGGGCCAAAGGGGGCTTCGTGGTAGTAGAAGACCACCAGGATGGACAGCACTTGGATCACCGAGCGGATGAATAGTAGCTCAAGAGAAGGAACTTTAGAACGGTCAGCTGCTAAACGAGTAATCAATGCCACACAGCCATGAGCTACTGCTGCCCCAAACAAGGCCATCCAGGTCACCCTGGAGGCCAACACATTCGCCTCGCCAAAGCTGGCCAGCTGCCCCTCAACGCCCTTGTCTCTTTGCACACTTGGCTGCTTAGGTTGGGTTTCCATGGTTCCAAAGAAAGTCCTGCCACCTTTGCTATCTGACACCAGTCTCTTCCCCACATTGGCTTCAGCAAAAGCGCCAAAGTCCTCAAAAGAGGGTGCATCGTCATAGCCCTCATCTCCAGGCTGAGGGAAGTGAGTGGCATATTTCACCGTCACTGTGTTGGGGTGAATCTTGACCCGCTTTTTTGATCCGTACTGAAGCGAAGATGAAGATATATCCATGTTGTATGGGCGTCAAATGGGGCAATCTGAAAAATGAAGTGAAATCCATTACAGTGTAACAGCAACCAAAGTGCTGTCAAATATTTGGACTTAGTTTAGAGGTTTGCATAATTTATCTCTCAGTATCCAAACTGCCACACTCACATGTATCCAAAATATACATGTGCTGACACACAACAAAAATCTCTCACGTTACCTCGTCGCTGTTACCTTTTACCCTTCCTAGATTTACACTTGTGTTACATTGCCTCTGTGTATATAGGCTGTGTATATCCCGTGTGAGCTCATAAAAGCCAAGCAGCAAACATTGTGAGGCTGATGCAGTCTGATGGGGATGAAATTACATAACAGGGATCCACCAGGGGATGATATATGAATGTGGGCCACTTATGAGCTGAATGGAACTGCACACCATAAATAAGCAAATCCTGTAGCTATGTCGGTGTGTGTGAAAGGGTTAAATGGAGGGGAAGAGTTTGAACCTTTTCTACTTTGTTTTATACAGCGCAAGGATTTAGCTTCAGTAGCCTTACTGATTATTAATATTCATTATAAAATATAATTTTCAAAGCATAAAGCCTAAATATATTTATATATACTGTGAGTATGAAGTAGTGCCTCTGATGTTTGTTTGTTTTTTCTTAACTCTAAAATTTATTGCTACTGCAGCATTCATTTGGGCAATACACAGCACATCAAAACCACAAGGGGGCAGATAGGTACTCTTGTTTGTCGTCTCTCTTCCTCTTGCTCCTCCTTTTTGAAATATAGATGAATATAACTTCATTACTGATAATTAACACAAGTCACACGTATATAAGGTATTAAAAAGCCTAAAGCCTAAAACAATGCTTTCTAACAACTACAGGACATTCATTACTTAACATCGTATTTTTAGCTGGCCAAACCAATTAAAGCGATTTATTTTCCACCGATGTACGAAAAATTTGATAAGAACGTGTTTTCAAACCGATAATTATTTAATATAGTAGTCTATCTTAAATGCCACATTTTTTTCATGTCATTCAATCTCGTTGAAATCTGGTTAAATGTATATTTAGATACCTGTATTTAGACAAGCTCCTATGTGAGCCATTATAGCGCCAACTTAGCGTAGAGAGAGGAAAACATGTTATCGGTGAACGTCTTACCTTTTTGTTCCTTAAATAGTTCCTACTGTTGCACGGATCCGGGTTTTTGTCATAAAAGAAGATTTTGTCGAATTTCTTGGTCCTTACATTCGCTCATCAGCAACTGCCATTTCTCCATCTTCCGTCTCAAGTGGAGCACCTTTTCTTTTTTTTTCTTTTTAAAAAAAGATGCGTGCTGCTTAGGTTTTTCGTTCTCCACTCTCTCGACGGACACTCCTTCTGCCTCTGATGAAGCTGAAGCTGCTGTTGCCGAGGCGGGTGATGATGATGCTGGTGCTGATGATGAAGTTGAAGGAGGGGATGGAGGAGAGGAGCAACTGTCACTGTCACAGCCAGCGGTTACTCTTCCTCATTCTCCTCCTCGAGAGTCCTTTCCACCTAGGCTCGCTCATAGTCATCATCCCTCAGGGAAAAGAGAAGCGCGTCTGTCATTCATCATCATCATTTTCATTAGATTAAAACCCCCATCCACTTTAAGAGCAGCATTTGAATTTCCTATGCGACTTAGTTATGGAGAGATGCAAGAAATATTAAAGTGCAACCAGGTTATTCTTATTCTCTTCTTTACAGACATTTTGAACATGTATCACTTTTACTGCACAATATATAAAGCAATTTATGTAATTACAGTATATTTCACACACTGTGCTTTATCTCTTTGTCTCTTTTCAGCTCCTGGTAGGCTATATTCTAAATTGCCCACAGGTGTGAATGTGAGTGCAAATGGTTGTCTGTCTCTCTGTGTTAGCACTGCCACAGAATGACAACCTGTCCAGGGTGTACCCCACCTCTCGCCCTATGGTAGGTGAGATAGGCCCAGCCCCCTAGCAGCCCTGACAAAGGATAAGGAGAAGAGGATGGATGGATGGATGGATGGATGGATATTTTGCTAGACTAACCCCCTAACCCTAACCCTCTGATGTTGTGCCAGGAATCTGCTGGAACCACTCAATTCTTATTGGAGTCCTATTGGACTTCACATCTCTCAGCTCCTGGTACTTGCCTCTTTTCTCATGCTGTTTTTTCCTGATGTTGCTGTCCTCTGTGATTGCCACCTCTATCAAAACGTTGGTCTTCTACTCTTCATCAACCATCAGTATGTGTCCCTGTCCAGCAGGTGGTTGCCTGTCTTGAAGAAGACCCTAGCCCTATTGTTCTCACCCACCTTTGGTGGTGTCTCCAATCAGGACTTGGCAACCTCTAGTCCATGCATCACAGATATTTCTAAACATGGGACTATGTTTAGAAATATCTGTGATGCATGGACTAGAGGTTGCCACTTGGTTGTACCTCTCAATGTACATGCTCCTCTTACAAACTGCTACTATGCAGCATATACATTATAAGCGGACTTGAGATTCCCTATAATCCCATATCCACGGGATACCATAATAAGATTTGATAATCCTATGTGGGAATAAAGACCAAAGCCCCCAAAAACATGCCATATAAAAAGGTAAAACATCCTGAAAGGACAATTAAGGTGTGACATATGGTGGCTGGAACTTGATGAAAAGTAAGAGTAAATTTGTAGTTTATAGTCACCTCAAGATGAAGGAAGTTGAAAGCTCTTAAATTAGACTGTCGACTTTACTCCCACAGGCAATGCTACAGGAGCCTCAGCTGGTAATATAGATCATAATGCCATTAGCTGCCACTGCCTGTGTAACATGTCGGATTTTAATTGGTACCGTGCACAGAGGAAGGTGATTTGTGAAGCTGTGGCAATTAACTTTGTGTCAACATTTACATTAAGCTATTTACAGTCACCGTAAATCAGACAGCAGGGAACTGTCATTTTAGGGGTTATAACTAACCTATTAAGGGAGCCAATAAAGGTCGCTGTATAGAAGCAGCAATTATTATGAATGAACAGGTCACCTAATAGTGCTCATATGTTTGTCCATCATATGAATAAAAGGTCAAATTGCTGCATAGGTACATAAACACTAATGTCACAAAGTTTGTTTCTTGATGAGGTAGAACTAGTCCAAATTTGTTGCACTGATAAATAATTGAATATATAAAGAGTACACATTATAGCCTACCTACCACCTCATATGGTTAAACATTCATCTTCAGGAAGGGCTGCAACTGCAAACTCATTATCTCACAAAGGCAACTTATTTTCTCCCAGATTACGTGTCATGTGATGTATCAAAAATTCTTTGCTAATCAACATATCTTTTCTTTGCTTTTCCATTATTGCTCCTTATCAGGCAACCAGTCCTGTATTAAATAGGGTTGGATTCCTCACCGTGGTAACCCAGAAAATGGTAGAGAAGCTTCTAATGTGGCAGCTGCTGTAAAGGGTCCCAAATCGTTATCTTTTTCTAAGCTTAAATAAGATGCTTGTCTGCCTAAAGCTAAACCAAATCTTAAACAGTCACGAAAATAGTAACAAACTAAGTAAAATCACGCAGTGCCACTCAGGAGATTATTCATTACTGCATAATGTTTACTGGAAGCAAAATATGTTTACTTTAAAATCTTTTTTAAGGCAATTTTTAGGCATGAAACAAGGGGACACAGGCATGTTTCTACCCCTTTAAAAAGGCTAATTATGTGTTTGTACCCAGCTAATTTTGCCACGTCCTCTCATTTTATTATTAGCGATGCATTATTTTATAACAAAAACATTGATGAGATGGAACATTTGGACTACTGGGAGGCGTTGAAAGAAGTGAAATCCTGGAGGATTTTTTATTGTCTCATTTAACCGGGGAATGGCTTTGTTCTATCAAATATCTCCAGGGAGATAGCAACATGTTAAGCTCCACTAATCCTGACTGCACCAATTTTATGTCTGGCATTTTGAAGAGGCAGCTCACAAGCAGAGGTATCTTTAAAATAAAAGCCTATTGATTGCATTATACCACCTACAGAAAGCACCGGCCCTCTGTAAGGTCTTTTCATGTAATTCCTATTCCTCTGATGCCCTGAGCGGAGAACATTCTGTAAATGAATCAGACTCTTAGGCAACAATGGGCACGTAATGACAAGACCTCGGTGGCGATAGCAAATCATGTTTGTTATTATTTGCTGTGAAGCAGCAGTTTTCAGTCCAATGTCTTTGCATGCACACAAACATTTCAAGACAACATAAAAAATGATATATTCAGCCGGCACTACATGCAGTTAATCAATGCAAAAATCTCAAGAGATACACATAAGAAGTTGTTTACATTTTTTTAAAGTTAATTTTAAGCAGTTGTTTAACTAGATTTGCCTTGTGCTTGCGTTGGTCCATAGAAACCCAGCCAGGTACGAGATATGCAAATGAGCAGTGACTGGAAGTCTTACAGACATTGCAAAAATTGTGTTTTACTGAAATGTGGCAAGATTTGCTAAAAAAAATATCAAAAATGATTTCACATATAGTATTTCAGTGCTGGCAACAGTTGCACAAGCTGTTATATGTTACCTGACTCCACAGCTGTCACCTCATATCCATCTTTCTTTTATTTCCTTCAGAGAAGTGTTCTCTACTGAAACTGGAGCCTTGTATTACCCCTGCTTGCTTGTTGTTGAATATAGTGGAGAAAAAATGAGAGCCTCGAGGTGTTTTTGTGTTGGTCACCAACTGGACCGCCCTCCCTCCACCTTCCTCGTTTGGTATTTCACAAAAAAGGACGTGTTTCTCATTCATCTTCTATTTTGGGCTTTAGCAATTTCTTATTGATTAAGCAATTATATCTCTGTTTCCCGAGACCAGGAGAAGATGGTGACAAGCAATCCCTTTAGTTGCTATGGGGAATGTAACAGCTGGCCTGTCACTGACATCCAATGAAATGAGCTGAAGTTGGTGTATGTGTAGTCCTTTTAGGATCTTTTAGGATTGTGCAAACCAAGCAGTAAAGACTATATGCTCGGCCCAAACGTTTTGCATTAACTGGCCAGACTAATGCTAATTATCTACATGCATAATGATGCACTAATTTATGAACACATTAACAGCAATTTTAGTTCATCCATTTGTTGCTAGAAACACATTTTGAATGTTGCAAATTGTGGTTCGGTGTTGTTTGCTCCTAATTCACTTTGACTGTGAGAACGCACTGGTAATGTGTAGCCAGCTGTCAAGGACCAAGCCAAACTGTTACCAGCATAATGATACCTGCAGACATTGCTCTGAGAATAGCTCAGTGAGTTTCCTGCAGGTTTTGTTTTCTGTCTATGTACTGAACCCAAAATCAAATAGTGCCCCATACTTTCATGAATCACAAATAGGGCAACTCAGCAGCTTGTTCTAAATCAAGCCTTTTAAATTATGCATGAGCAGGAGAGGTTTCCTTTCGTGAAACGAAAGAAAACAAGAGAGAAATTGTGATTTTTTTCTGTGTCAAATGATGTAATAATTATCTAATCACACACCTCAACTATGAATGAGTTATCCCTGATCTGATATGTATTAAAATAATATCTTTATTCATGAACATTCATATGTGCTTTTAGAAGAAAAGATTGCCATACGCTCATCCAAAGGCCATCAGCTCCTGTAACAAAATGGGATGGAAAGCTTATTCATCTCAGAAAGGTATAATTTCACCTGGAAGCCAAACATACACCGAGGGAAGACGGCGCATGGAGGAGTTAACTTCATTCATTTGAATCTGTCACCACAATGAGCTCATACTGCACCTTTGAAGATTATTCTTTTCATATCTGCCAGAGATCAGATACAATGATGCACTACTTAATCAGTTGCACTCATCACTGCAGATATTCCAGCAATTATTCATGTGATAATAGCCTGCAATATTATTCAAACCATCAGCTTGATAATGAACCTTTTTGGACTTTTTCCACATGTCTTCTACACTTCTTGTATGTACTGTAGCAGATGATGAGACTTAACACATTTAATTTATTTATTTTTGGATGCTCTGTTATTATCAGATCCTCAGAGCAGTTGAGGCTGAGAATAATTGGGTCCTTAAGCTCCAGCAGCTGTTTTTTTTTAAGCTTGTTTGCTGTTAAGAGTTCATCCCTCTGTGTGAGTACCTACTAAGTAAATAGCCAGTAAAGAAAACTGCGATGACTTTCTTATGGGAATTTTTAATCTCTGCATAATTTGGGTGGAGGATGCTGTGGCCTGTCGTTACTTTCAGATGTTTTGCAGCCAGCTTACGTCATAGCTAGTACACTGTGTGGCTGTAGGTTGAGACTTTGATTAGAGTTGATGTGTGTGAGACGCAGATGGGTAAGTTTAAAGTTCACAAGTTTATTTTCTGTGAGTATTTGTCATGTGGAAAGCTGCGTCAAACACATTTATCAGGTACACCTGTTCAACTGCATGTAAACCAAATTATCTAATTAGACAGTCGCATGAGAGCAACTCAGTGTATTTAGGCATGTAGAAATAGTAAAGACAAATTGAGTATTAGAAAGGAGAATAAAGTTGATTTAAGTAACTTTGAACGTGGCACAGTTGCTGGTGTCAGGCTGAGAGAAAGTATGTGAGAAACTGCTTTTCTACTGGCATCAGCAGTTTCTGAAATACTTTTGCTTT